GCAAACCATTCATTTGCAATGGACCTGGTGGTGGAGAATCGGTCCCTTAAGGCCAATAATCTTAGGCGGCGATCTTCACGGTCTGTTGTTCTACGGCGGCGTCCAGTGCCCCTTGCTCTTTGCGTACGGCCTTCTTGAAGCCATGCCTGATAACACCTAACCACAGTGTCTACACTTCTTTGCACTCTAACTGCAATTGCCCGAAAAGAAAGTCCAGCTTCCCGAAGTCCCACTATACGGCCCCTATCAAACTCACTAAGTTGACGAAATCTTACAGGTCTCCGTACTCTAGGCATCGTAACCGATCGTAAAGGGTGTCAAGAACCAAAATCCGCCAACGTTGATTCTTTACTGCGGCTGAAATATTCATTTTTAGAGCGTTAGTGAATTAAAAAAAAGCAGTATATAAACCGGAATGTCCAACTGATAAGGCTGAAAATTTTTTCACTAAATACATTCACCAACTTTTATTAAAATAAAACCATTTAAACTGGTTGTTCGGATTTATATGTCACTTAGTATATTTGCACACTAAAAACTACCTAGACTGCAAGATGACATTTTGTAGGTTTTTTGACGTTTTTTAGGTTTTTTACATAATGCCGGATCCCTCACATACACTCAAATACGCCTCTGGACATTGTATTTATGGCGCCATATTCTTTAATTGTGAAATTTGCTACAAGACATTATGACTACCACAAATCCAGGTACCAAGGTACCAATTCTAAATACTGAGTTATCCGTTTTACCTCTACTCGACCAAACCACTCAGGTATCATCCCAAAGTATGTATACATATTATATTAAAATTTGTTAATCCTTCCCAAAAACCCAGATGAACCTCAATTACCTTGGAAGGAATTTACACTTGAGAATCATACTTCATGTATTTTAGATCACAATCTGTTAGTAACTCATTTTCCCAATAATGAGGATAAACGTCATCATTCAGCTTTAGATGACATCCAAGAATCACTTTTACGAAAAACTCTTATAGATACATAACAGAAGAACTTAATATGTCTTTGAGAAAACGACATTTAGTTTTGCAAAAGCCGATGTCGTACAAACCAACAAAGGCGGACAGCTATAAACACTCCACATCATGTAGAAGAGGAAATTCCAGACCCTTGTTTGTAAGAATTTTTATTCATTCTTTTGTCTGCTGAATCCGCTCTACTCCTGGCAATAAAGGAGCTCCTTTAATCTCCGGCAACGAAATGTTACACTCAATCACCATGGTCAGTTCCCATCATACTTTGTTGATTGCAGAATGTCGAGATAGTCTGTAGAGTATACTTACTCTGAAAAGATGTGTGGTTGAGTAGCAGAGTAGCAAGATCACATCCGGATAATTGTGTATAAAATCAACGATATTTGCTATGTGAGAAAATTATTACTGAATATGCTGCTCATGAAATATATGTACAACAGCTAGTGCTAGGTTGACATTTTGTAGAAAAAACCTACATAATGTCACAAAAAAACTATATAATGTTAAGAAAACGACAATGTCACTTTTCAAGATACATAATGCCCCTGCGACTCAAACACATCCCTAGATTTAGTATTTATGGGGTCCATATACTTTATGACCGAAAACGCTATTTGCTATAACATATTATGACAATCAAAACCCCAGGTACCAAAGTACGATTTCTAAATAGTGGGTTATCCCTTTTACCTGGGCTGCACCAAACGTGTTTCCAGGCTGGAATCAACCCATAATATTATGTACCCTGGATTAACATTTGTTAATCCTTCCCAAAAACCCAGATGAACCTCAATTATCTTGGAAGGAATTTCCACTTGAGAATCATACTTCATGTATTTTAGATCACAATTTGTTAATTATATTATCTGTTTTCCCAAAAATGGAAATAAACGTCGTCATTCAGCTTGAGATGAGATCCAAGAATCACTTTCACTTACGTGTTTCCACATCCGACACATGATTGTACAATATCGTAAAAATGAATCAGCAACGCGTATAACGTCACGATGTAGAAATACGCATATATATGTGCAATATATGGATGTTCAGACTCTTGGATTACCGATTAGATAAGCTTACAAGTTCAAGAATATGATATTGAAATAGGTGCATAGTATTAGTCATACCACTAACGAATGTACAAATTATTCTATTGGATTAGTCATACGGTCTACATCTTGCAAATTTTTTGCGCTCTCGTGTCTGAAAAAACTCAAGTAGGTTCGATTTTTTGCTGTATCCTCTGTGTAATGGATGTGGTAGATATTCAATATACTTTTTATTAAGTCCAGTGTAGTCATCGATTATGAGATATTTTTTCTACGTGTTTCGTTGGTTGGTTCTTATAAAGCGATAACAAAGGAACCACTAAAATAATTAATGAGTCGTCTAATGCTGAAAGAAGCTTGACTAGTTGCCCATCACAGCTGACTTAGTTTTTATAACCCTGAACTGTTTAAAGTTAGTAGGAAAGATCGATATCTCAGGAGCAACATTTTTGGAGGAAGAACAATCTGGGTAGAATGAGAAACAAAAACCTGACAAGTCGGACTAGCAGAATTAGAAAGCGGTGCCATCTTTGAGGGGAATCTTTTCAAAACGCCAATTCAACCTTGGATCTGAAACCAAGTTAAAATTGGACTAGCTCTATAGTTCAAGAGAATTTTTGTCGCAAATCATCGGGCACTTAACACACTTTGCGGCAACAAAAACTTGTACCTTTTTCTAAGTCGCGTAGTCAAATACGATCGAAACTCCGAAACTGTGTTTTTTAACAGCTTTTCAGGCAAATATTTACAAACTAACAAATTATGTAAGAAATTAAGAAGTACCATGTCTTGAAATCGTCTAACACCACAATTTTCTGCAAAAACTCGCATTTTTTAAAAATAACACTAAGGCCCGAATCGTCAGTCGTCCCTACAATTGTAGGGCGCGTTTATGGCCTCCTTGATTGTCATACTCTTTTCTCTCCTTCAAAAATTTCTAGATTACACTCGTCCCGTGTCAGCGTCAGCGCTCTCCTATTGTTAAGATATGTTTTCCTTTTAAATTGTAGGAAATTTCAGGCTGATGAAACATGATATAGCTCAAAAGCAAGCACAATTTGATGCAAATAGATGTTTGTGACATAACCTCAAAATAGAGCGTCGACACGGAGAAGTATAAAACTATGACAATCAAGGAGGCCATAAACGCGCCCTACAATTGTAGGGACGACTGACGATACGGGCCTAAAAACTTAAATTTAATGACGGAACTGTCCAAAAATTGACTTATGAATTAGGGGACAACATATCCTCGGCTGTTTCCTGCTATCTAGTCTGATGAGAACAAAGGATTTATCAACGACCAGATTCAATATTTTAAAAGCTATGATGGATTTTCTTTAAATTTTGAAGAAATGTTTTAATATCCTGCAAGTTTAATTTTCTTGGTTTTTATACATGTCTATGACCTTGTTAATTATAAGAATTGAAATCACATGGAGAAATCTCAAGTTTCCCATAAAAGTCCATGTGAACTGTCTACCGAAATACGGTGGTCAATTCCATTCAAACGCTGCAAAAACGTGTATCAATTCGGTACTTATGTGAAATGCGACGTACTAGCGTACTTATTAAAATTTAAAAATATAATTCACACCTACTTCTCTTTAAATCAACACGCCTATATTACTCATAATCTCATGAAGATAACAACTTCAAGACAAGAAACTTAATGACGAGATTACAAAAAACAGAAAACAAATAACTTTTTCCACAGCTGTAAGTGATATGCGTATATGTTCATGTCTAACCGCTGTTTGGTATCTAATCTTTGATAAATCTGTATAAACAAAAGGTAGTACGACGCACATTATACTGAATAGTTTATAGCTACAAAAATTACTCTTTCATCAAGTAATGCGTCTTAAAAATGTGATTCAGGACGACATATTTCAAAGAAAGTAATGAAGTATTCAGATGTATAACCCCTGAGTTACGTATTCTACTTGAAGATAGCCAACCAAATGATATACTTCGGCGTCCAGAAAGGGATCTGAAAGATATCAGCGCCATCTATGAGACTGATGCAGTAACATAACACAAAAATGAATATAGGCGTCTACATTCTCTCTTAGATGGTGCCATTTTAATTGTGTATCTTAAGACATTGATTAACGTATGCCACCTGAAGACTCCAAAAAGGAATAGAAGATCCAGCGTTTTCCATAAGTCATTAGCAGAACCTCCCATTTCAACGTGGACTTCTAAATTCATTTTTGTAATTTGCCACTGTCTCATTGTGAGATCTGTATCTTTCAGATCCTTTTTGGACGCCGGAACACAGTATATGGTTAGGTATAGATAGAATACAATGGTTTTAGCTTCCTCTATGCCTCCGCCGCGTTATAGGCCTGCCGGACGAACACGCGAGGCGACTGCTCATTCGTTCCAATTGTATGGAAAATATGAAACAATCTACCAGATGTGGCCTTTTGCTAATCTTAGGCAGATCAAAAGTCGGAACATCAAAATGACGCTTAATAGCAGTTGCTGCATCTCAATAGTAAGATCTACCTTCGTGGCTGCCTTTTCCATATTATAGTCGTAAAATTTATAAGAATCCATGCTTTCACATTATGATGATATCTAACATGTTTCGAACATGAACGCGTTCCATCGTTGGTCCCACCGCAACCAGGAGCGAGTGTTTTCCTGTTTTGTCATTCTAGAGCATGTTGTCATATGCGATCTGTGTTTGAAAAACATTAATTTTGCGAGCTCTACTGCGGGCAATAATCTGATAAAATCTTTCGTTTTCTGTATGGCAAAAATGGTATTTTTACAATTTGACAAAAAGTCAGCGGCTCAAAGGGCCAGTCCAACCCTGTTATCAAAGTGAAAGGGCGCAGTGGCGCAGTTTGAAATTTTTGGCAGAAGATGCAAAATCGCCTTTTCCAAATCGTGGTTGGAAAACTGCAATGATTTGCAAGGTTGCGTCACCACGCGTCTATTTCCCGGCATGAAATATCAAATGCGTCACCGTTTTTACAGCAAATAATTATTTGTAACAGAACACGCATGAGGTTCAGTGTTCAGACTGTTCAGTCATCACCACGATGTCCAGCTACCAGCCGGCTTGCACTGTATTATCAATGAAGAGACAAAGGTATGTACCGCCAACGGAGAATCAATTTTCATTTTCCCGCGAACATGCTTCGCAGCGCGTAACCCAGGAAAAAGTATTATAAACCCGCGATTCCGTTCCCGCGGATTCAGTTCTACGCGAGATTTCGACGTGGTCGAATCGGTATCGCTATCGCTTTGTCATTCAACATTCAAATCGCTCGCTAAATGGGGATTCCGAAGAACAATAGGATGTCTACAGCCTCTCACGATGCTAACGCACGCCGCCTGAAGATTCGAATTTCCCGCGCGAGTGAGTCGCGATCCACTGAGTCATTCACGACCGTCAGTTTGTATTCGGAGATAGCTCTGCCGCTGTGTCGGAACCGCGTGGCCTGAACCTGTGACGGCGTTTTGGATAAAATTGTAGGTGTTTGCGAGGATTTTTAGCATGGAGCGATTTGTAGAAGATATCTTGAAAAATCCTACGATAATCACCGCGTTTATAATCGGTGCTGGTGCGATTTTAATGGTGTACATTTTGAAATTGTTCAGGAGCGATAATGTGATGCAGGAACACAAGCAGAAACGTAAGGATGCATTTGTATTGACATGATTAGGTATTTGTGTTGGTCAAGGCGAAAAAGTGAATCGCAGGTGGCTGTTATTCGGTTGCATTTCCAAATATAGAAGTTGTTTTGATACACGTGCTTTAGTAATGTGAGGTTACGTATAATTATTTTGGAGCCAATAAATTCCAAATTTGAAGCACCGAAGGACTATATTGGGGTTTGTAGTAGATTAGAAAGTGTAATATGGTATTGTTGATTTGCTTTTATAAAACAAAAACAGTCATTTGAACTAGGATTCAGAATACACACATGGTCATCACCCTACATGATTTTTTATGGTTTAAATTCATTCTAATATTCCAATGAATTCACCTTCATCTTGATACTATTGTTACTTTGAAAATATCTACCATTCTAAGTTAAGACTACACATCAAATAAATGTCTAGTTCATCTGTTTCAGTTATACTTTGAGACTTGCATTTGAATTTAGTATTAGTACCAAAATATGAGAGCCTATGAGTCTGTATCATATATGCAATAGAAAAACTTCTTTAGTTGTCTGATTACCCAGTTATAAAGGGATTATGTTACTTGTAAAGTTATATTACCAAAACGTGGAACATCTATAAACCCCTGTGTACACATGGAAATGAGGTATTTACACATTCCAAACTATACTAGATAGCTCGTGAACTTATTAAACTACAATTCTAGGTCAGTTAGTATTGAATTAATAATTATGTTCCGTTTTGTAATTTCACAACAAATATTTTTTTTATTTCATCCATGACCTACCACATACATGTGTATTATGGATAGACAATATTTGGAATAATTTTTGACTCTGTATTAATATACCTTTTGTTCAAACTAATGACATGCATCATCCAAATTGAAAATTTTAATACATTCCACAACATATGCTATGATTGCAATTGTAGAAAAAAATTAAATTTGTACAATAAAATAAAGATGATCTGCTTACCTACTTCTTGCAATGCGCCTAGATACCCAATAATCCAAATAATTTATAATTCACATAACAAATCTCTTCTTACATGCATTAATGAACACAAGCTACCTTCACTAAGACTAAACAATTTCTAAAAGTGCATCATACAACTCTAGTTCATTTCATCTGTGTTGGTTTGTTGGTAGCATTCATTTTTCCTTGCACTTTTTATGACTTCTGTGTGTATGTGTGTGTGAAATGCACTCAAAGTATGCACACTTCATGCAAAAAATTATAAACTGTCATTTACCATATTGTCATTTATCAAATAAGCACTAGCAAGAGATAACACAGTAATAAGCTATCGAGTCCAATCACTATGAGAAAGCATAAGAGTGTATGATAATGGGAGCGTTCTGCTAACAAAAAGCAGTCCAGCAGTGCAGCACTGTTATGCTAGCATGTACCATGGTATAACTTAGGCAATTAATGGCACTTTCCACCTGGCTGTCAGATTTGATAGTTGTTGATTAATGTTATGAACTGTCAGTGCTAGTCCACAGCTGCTGCTATTATGAATAAAAGCGCTGCAACTCTTAACTGCTTTATGATGGCATTGTGATATTACTTAAATTATATTATAGGAGAGTAAATATGGGGACTGTCTTTAGTTTGGTGATTGCCATTTGTTTTTGAAGCATTACTTGTACTTTTGAAGGTCAGATGTCACCGTTAGCCATACCATATCCACTAATCAAATTTCTGCTTGTCATATCGCTTTGGCCAAACTTTGTCAACCTATCTGTATATCTACCCAAAGTGCCAAAAATTTGGAGAAATCTACCATATGCAGTATAAGCACATTTTAACCATTAATGTGTTGTACTAACCTAAGTAATTCAAAAATTAGATTAACAGTATATTTGTATCTTATTCATAGCGTTGACAACACCTTCCTGCTCAGGCTGGGTCTTCTATTTTGCTTCAGTATAAAAAAAATCACTCATTGGATGAGGCAGTTTAGCCTTGTTTCTTCATTGCTTTTTACATTCTGTGATGATTGTTTTAAATATGGTGAATGTACTAACACTAGGATTCTAGGATGTTTCAACTTGTTAGGCTTTTCACAATTTTCTACACGAACTCTAGATTCGTTAGAAGATTTTTGTTTGTGAACTTAGTGATTTCCATGATTTTGATGATTAGAAGGTGGATGACTCATATCAGCATATCACATTAATACCTGGGAAGCAGTGAGTCAGTTTGTCATGAAATATGACTGTGATTCATTCATATTTGGAAAATATTAGTGATATAAATAGCAGTTCCGTGCATTTTGGCAACTCATCAGCATCGTCTAGGCCTGATTTCAGGTAGGATAATGAACGAAAGCTGAGTAAGTATCCTTTGTCCAGGATACAAGCTCTATTAAAATAAGACAGTACAAAGTGTCATCTACTACCAATTGTGGTGGTATAGTACAAACTATACTAAGTGACATATAAATCCGAACACCCAGTTAAAATGATTTTATTTTAATAAAATTTTGTATAAGTACTTAATGAAGCATAATAAGTAAATGATAAAAATTTCAAAATGATTGCACTGCTTTAAAGCCCTTTGACCTTTAATAATGTGTGGATGCACCCTGATGTGCTACGCATTCTCCAACGCGCCTAGGCATGCTTCTGATCAGGTGGTCAATGTCCTCCTGTGGTATCTCATTCCAGGCAACCACCAACTCCTCTCGAAGTGCTTCTAGAGTCTGAGGAGGACGTTGCAAATTGAGCAATCTCCTACCCATCATATCCCACACGTGCTCAATTGGGGATAAGTCGGGAGATCTTGGTGGCCATGGTAACAATGTGACATCATTATGTTGAAAGAAGTCTATTGTGACTCTTGCAACATGTGGTCGGGCATTATCTTGTTGGAAAGTTGGATCTGCCAGGGTGTCAAGATAGGGTAAAAGCTGGGGTTCTAGAACTTCGTGGATATAACGCTGCGCGTTCATGTTACCTCTGATGAAGATTAAAGGTGACCTGGAACCATAAGCTATAGCACCCCAAACCATAACTCCAACAGGGTGATGAACATGTCTTTCAACAAAAAACTGTGTATTCCTCCTTTCACCACGTCGCCTTCTAACCCTGGCACGGCCATCCTGCATGCCTAAAAAAAATCGAGACTCGTCACTAAAGACAATACTGTTCCATTCCTGATCCCAGAGTGACAGTTGTCTGCACCACTCAAGGCGATTACGTCGGTGTTCTCGAGTTAAAGGGAGGACCCAGAGTGGCCGGTATGAAAACAAGCCAAAACTTCTCATTCGTCGGTAAACACTTCGCATGCCAATAGGTCTTCCGTGTTCCGCAAACCATTCATTTGCAATGGACCTGGTAGTGGAGAAACGGTCCCTTAAGGCCAATAATCTTAGGCGGCGATCTTCACGGTCCTGTTGTTCTACGGCGGCGTCCAGTGCCCCTTGCTCTTTGCGTACGGCCTTCTCGAAGCCATGCCTGACAACACCTAACCACAGTGTCTACACTTTTTTGCACTCTAACTGCAATTGCCCGAAAAGAAAGTCCAGCTTCCCGAAGTCCCACTATACGGCCCCTATCAAACTCACTAAGTTGACGAAATCGTACAGGTCTCCGTACTCTAGGCATCGTAACCGATCGTAAAGGATGTCAAGAACCGCCAACGTTGATTCTTTACTGCGGCTGAAATATTCATTTTTAGAGCGTTAGTGAATTAAAAAAAAGCAGTATATAAACCGGAATGTCCAACTGATCAGGCTGAAAATTTGTTCACTTGTTATTTACAGTAAGATAAATACATTCACCAACTTTTATTAAAATAAAACCATTTAAACTGGGTGTTCGGATTTATATGTCACTTAGTATAGTAATATAGCTTCCATCTATTCGACCACCAACGGCCAACCATGGACAGGTGTTTCGTGCTTTTTGCTAACTCATCAGCATAGTTTAGCCTTGTTCTCAGAAAGAAATCCCACCGAAGGTGATATTTATTCCAAGTGTCTGCGATTCAGGTTGAACAACGAATGAAAGCTAGGCAACTACTTATCCTCATTTTGTCTTAATATATTGCTCGACAGTCCAAGGAAATCCAAAATTCGTATCTGCGAAATGTTCTCTATTATGCGTACGAACCTCACAAAGAAGCACGTGTACCACAACAAAGACGTAATGTAGGACTAATATTAGCATACTTAACGGCAATTCTAGATTCAAGCTGAATAAAAAATCGGCTATCATAAATTTACTAACCTCGATAAACAAAAATCCTGGACACTGGACATGATTTAAAAACCCATTTTGAAGCTTCACGTTGCTATTCGCATGCTTTACGAGTATTGTTGAACGGAATATCCGATGAAACATGTTTAGAAACTATAATACACAATTATTGTACTAGTAGTAGGAAGTTCTGACCTAGCTCAACCTCCATACATGTGAATATTCCGTATGAAATGGGATATTTTCCACTTAGACAAAATGTTTAATGGCCGAAATTGATTATTTAGATCCAATTTTCAAGGATGCACTTTGTCCTCGTTTTTTTTTGAGAAAAACATTTAAAATTCGTAAATTGAAAGAACACCTGTTTATATCTGAATAGTCTGTATTTCTCGCTCCCCTCTGGAGGAATTAGCCATTAGGTTTTTATTTTTTCTGTACACGATGGAACGTAACTTTATTCTTCTCATAGTTTTGCTTTCAACGCTTACTGGTGAGGAACTATGGTAATCGCGAAATATTTCGAAAAGGAGATACCATGTTTTTTGGTAACCATGTCGCTTATTTCTGTCGGTTCTCTGTCTTCGTGTCCGCTAATTCTTGTCCCAGCTGTAATTTGGAAAGTGAAAAATATAAAATCAACGTCCGCTTTTTTGTTTCAGAATGTTCTGCTCATTTTTGAAAGCTTTTTTGAGCGGTGAAAAATATCTCAATTTTTTGCATCAGTATACTTCTACGCCAGTAAGCCTTCACACCAATTTACGCACGTATAAACAAGAATGATCTTCGTTACCCGCGTCGAGAAATATAAGGAAAACGTGTGTATGTCGATCTTCGCTGCCGTGGTGATTTGGGGACTGTATTTCGGTGGTTTCAGGCTTGCTCATCGCCATTCCGATAGTAGCGTTGCTTGTCACATAGGTGGGGATTTGTTGATACAGGTTATGTTTCCATCCCACGTAACATCTCTCTAAATACTAAAAATTATTTTGCGTATCTCTTTCTAAACATTATTTATTTATATTACTATACTAACCGTAATCATTTATTTAAAAACAATTAAATTGAATCCAAGATCTGAAGTTGAAAGTATAGGATTAATCAGTCAATTCCATCAAAGTGGTCGATCCCAGGCAAAAAACCTATATTAGAAAAAAATTAAATGCACCAATAACATCTGGATTAACATGAAAATACATTAAAATATCCTCACTAACTAAATAAAAAACACAAGAACGTAACATCAACTGTAAAAGGAAAAATCACCCCTCAATCTTCCTCGTGATCATACCCGAAACTTTATAATCTCAGAACTTCTAGATTTCATTTCATTTCTTTATTGGTGCTTAATACACTTGCGTGTTTACACAGGTCAAAGTATAGGTTAAAATACAAAAGTGTAAATTCACAAAACAATACAATTTGCTAGAAAGAACAACAATAACAGAAAACTGTAAAAAATAGAAGCTGTACAATGATATTATGAATAGAAACAGAGTCAAAGTAAACAAGCACACTACAACACCATTATAAGAGATCCGCACTTTATCACGGATCTTAAAAAGTGACATTATGCTTTTTTTTTGACATTATGCTGTTTTTTTACATTATGTAGGTTATTCTACAAGATGTTAACTTAGCACTTAGTTGTACGTGTTGCCTAAACGTCATGAGGCTTGTTATCAATCTTTGGCTCTGATGTGATGTAAAATCTGCTTCTGAGATGGCATTACTGGAGGTCTAAGCTGTAAGTTGTATGTGTTGATGATAATTACATTGGGTTCTTGTCTCAAATACACTTAATTGAGATTCACAGCTAGAAATTAGTTGCGCATCCACTTTTTTTTATCCATCAATTTCAAAAATGAGAGAGATGAGAAATAATTATATTCACTGTACACTGTCAAATTACAAGCCATATACATGCTAACAGTAATTACACAAAACGCGGGCGCGGTGATGATTTCCCGTAATTCTCCTCAGTTTTTCGTACTGTATAACTTTGAACATAACCTCTCTTCAGAAAGCACAACATATAAATAACCCGTCATATTAGGCATATTCAGTAATGATTTTCTCACAAATATCACTGATTTTACCGATGACCAATACACATAATCATCCAAATGCGATCTTGCTATTCACCCAACTTTCTTCTCAGAGATAAAAACTACAGACCCGCATCACTCAGCCTCACAAAACTATGCAACCAATAATGCGTAGTTTAGTTGAGTGATTCCTCCAGAGATGGACATTCACAACGATCCTAGTGAGCAAACGTGGAATGACTGTTTGCGCCCTAAAAACTACCTAGTCTGCAAGTTGACATCTTATAGGTTTTTTTTGACGTTTTATAGGTTTTTTACATGATTCCCGTCTGAAAAGTTATTACCTAAAAATGCCAGACATTCTGAGTGTCTCTGAAGAACGTTATAAAAGTACATTCCATAGTAGTTAGATTACCGTTTAGAGTTCTTTGGACGTTGTCCAGATGGTTTAATTCGGATTGGATATCTTCCCGTATGTTGATCAGTGCTCCTAGTGATTTTCGATTTCTTTGATTGGCACACCGATCGCTCACCTAACCCAAATACCGAAAACATCACCGTGACTTTGACTGCGCCATTAGCCGAACGAAAACATGAAGAACATACTGAATTTGTTGTCTTTCTTATTTTTTCTAGATGAGAAGTGTTCGGCCACAGCGTCAGAAAAGAAGAAAGACACCGCTCACAGTGGCAAAACAGCCGGCACCAAAAAGAAGACCGCGACAGAGGGGCGTAGAGATAGACCGACGCGAAGCGACAAACAGGCATTCGCCCATTCATGGCTGCTCACCTCGTTGAAGGGGCACACCGGGTCTATCTTGGACATGGATTTTAGCAACAACGGGAAATACCTCGCCTCTTGTGCTGACGGTGAGTACCGTACATAATTATTTAGGCTTTTAACGGTAATCTCGAGCTTTCGGTCCTCTATGGAACCATCATCAGGAGCTGAAACACAAATATGAAGCTACCAACCAATACGGAAAGGATTTAAATTTTCAGACAACTTACTCGTAGCTGAGGTTGCAGCCAAATTATGTTTCGAACGAAAGCGAGGATGAGAGCACTTGTTGCAATTATAAAACCGAAATAATGTACACAATGGGGTTTTTGATAACGACGGAAAACCATAGTTAGGTGTTGAAACTATATGTCAATACACCCGAACACATTAAAAATTATCGGATTGCAAGTTGTGGGGAAAAAACGGCAGACTCCCTTCTAACCTCCTAGATCTGTTTCACGTGGAGAAAATGAGCGAAACCGGAAGAGTGATGCGTCGGCAGATGACAGGTGACTGTCGCGAAGAAATGTGGATATGTAAAAATCATTGCCATATTTCAGGTCTAGTGTATACGAGGGTCACTTGGATAAAATCATCATATTTCCTAAAAGTGCTGGATTAAATTTGTTTGAAAAAGTGTACTTCATATGTGTGTAGGATGGTGATACACGCTTGAAAAGATGGGTTGTATGAAGATATATTGATATTTATTATTGTTGTGAGTCATTGTTTCAATTAACAGGATAAATAATTGGAATTATCTTTTAATTTTGGGAGGATGTTAGATCATATCGTCGGCTTTCTCACGAAGTGTCCTAACCAACGGTTAGTGAATTTTACAGGAGAGCAAGAAAACGAAATCAGCGTGTTGTTGATTGAGCATTGTATGTAAAGTTTAGATATTTCCGAATTGAAAATTCACGTGTATTAGCCTATATTCATTGTGAATCATATGCCGTTTCAATATTTGCGGTAGCTTATCAGGCTATTTTGGAAAAAATGGAAAACGCACGTAGGTCACTTCGTGAGAATTTTCAGAAGATTTTTGTCAGACAGAGCTAAAATATATTTTCATTGAAGTTCTTGTTATTATAATTTTTTAAGATATACAGAATTTGTTTCATTTACTTATAAGCAAAGAATCATATTTCCAGCCAAGGGGGCGATTATCTCAGAAAATTTGTTGATTGTTAAATTTTTTAAGTAATCGTTGGTCTGCTGACAGCAAAGTTTATGTAAAAAAGTTCAGATCGACTTTTGAAGTTTGGCTACCCCCTAAAATATTTTCCTCAATGTCCATGCCTAAAATGGATGTAGATTATGACAAAAATATTACGTGATTAGATGAAGAAAACAACTCGAAACGTCAAACCAATTTTTATTGAAATAAAAACTAAAAGAAAAGCAACTGACTTAAATATTATATTTTGACATATTACCAGCAAATGTTGATGTGTGACAAAAAAAGGCAAAATTATCAATAATTCATTCCGTTTCATGGGCCAAATTTTGTAAAAGTTTTGGAATTCTGGTAAGCGTACAACTAACTGGCGTTTTTCGGATTTTACATAACGAAATTAAGTCGGAGTACTTCTTTTTTGTTATTTTTAAGTTGTTCTAGTTTAATATCATTTATATTATTACTATTTCTCAACAGCCTTTTTAACTCAATACTGTCATCACTAGTATCGTGGTCGCTAGACTTAAAAAATATTATGGTGGGCGTGTCTTTTATTACAATAAACTCCGTTTAATATTTTGCCCCGCCTTAGCTTGCCGTGTGGACAATATTCTTAAATCTGTTGAAAGTTTCTTGAAGTCAAAAAATTCATTGGGAATTACTAAATAAGGTTGACGTTTTCTGGCGCATCAAAAAACCGGATAGAGTTATGAGGGTTCAAAAAGATCTCCAACTCCCGTTATCGCAGTATGAATGCACTGTGAGCAGATTCTCCCTCACTTTGGCCATGATTCCACCACCGAGGAGCGTATACTAACAAGGATTATTGGACACTAAGGGACTTATCTTCATTTAGGTCTCTTCCTGGGAATCATAAATTTACCTATGCAGATAAGACACCCAGGGGCTAACCGTGTGTTGCCCACACTAATAGATATATAGTTATGCTTCTTCCTCAGATTAACCAGCATGGAATAATACATCTATATGCGGGTTATCTAAATTTTTGGTATTTTGTCAGTTAGAACACTTCGTGAGAAAGGCGACGATATGTAGTCGTTCTAACTTTTCGCAATTCAACAAGTAAGAACAAATGACACTGAGCTGCTTAACATCAGCCTTTTTATTCATACAATGATCTATCATGAAAATGTGGGACGTTTCTTGACAAGGAGCAACAACTCTCGAAACGTCTATTTTTAGAATTATTTTACCATATTTTGGGAACCAACCAGAAGGAAATTAATATTTGTTTATCTTAGAGCCGTATCGTTTGGCGTCCTTGATATTCATAGTTTTCTACTGTTCCGTGTCAGCGCTCTTTTTTGAGGTTATGTTACAAATATCTATTTGCATCAAATTGTTCATGCTTTTGATTTATATCATCTGTTATATCAGCCTGAAATTTCCTGCGATTCAAAAAGCAATCATAGCCTCACAGTAGGAGAGCATTCACGCTGTCACGGAACAGTAGAAATCTACCCCAGCCCTTCTGAAGGAGGGAAAAGTCTATGAAAATCAAGGCAGGCCAAAAAGGCGTCCTATAATTGTAGGAACGACCGACGATACGGCCTTTTGTGAATATATTGATACAATAAGAAGAGAATATTACAGTTACTATTCCCCGAATTGTTATCAGAAATATCCAAATACCTAATTTTAGAATCCCCACCAACATTCAAGGGTTTATTAATCCATGTACCTGAACCTTTCAAGGGAACTCGTCAACTTTGTTTGCAAAGATAACGATGGCTTAAGTGCCGTCATCTGAATACCATCAACAATACATCTAATAAGTATACAGGTATCAGTTTTTCGTTTACACTCAGAAGAGATGGTTGTGTTGTTCGGTTGTGCTTGTGAGGATTTTGCTAGTTTGAGGTAGCTATTTTTTTCTTCAAGTCTGTGACAAGTTTGCACCTCGATTCTTTTGTAAGTTTTGAGGTGTAATAGAAGGGTTCTAGAATTGTAAATAGCGTGCAGTAATATATAGTTCCCTTGTTGATAATTTATTGTAGATGGTCGACACTGACGCTACAGGCGGATATTTATACGAGGTTTGTTCAAAAAGTATCGCGAATTTCATGTTTTTTCAAGAATTATTTATTTATTCATGAATATCTATTTTGTCCCCTTCAAAGTAATCCCCATCAGACTTTATACACTTGTGATAACGTTTTTTCTAATCCTCGAAGCATTTTGAAAAAATCATTTGCATGTCAAGTAGATTGACTCAGTATTTGTAACAACAGACACTGACAAACCGAGATAAAGTACGGAATTGCGATGCAGATATCTTTAATCACAGCCGACGTCAACTACGAGCCGTGATGAAAGAAAGGCAACACCACGCTCGGACGGCATGGTAGTGCTACCTGTGAACGTCGGCCGCCAGCGGCTGTGTGCTCCGTCTCCGTGTAACGTTCAAGAACTAAATTTAATTTTGGAAAAGAGGACAGTTCGATTCGATACAAATCGTCTGAATATGAAATAGCTCTAAAAAATTTAAAAATACGAAATAATCGTTTACGTTTTTTGGTGTCAGCACACTGTGTTCCAACAGGTGTGAATTTTCCAGGCAATACATACTCAATGTCAACTTGATTAAATGAATATTCAATTATATTAAGTAGAGTCAGCGTGCTTTGATATAGAGCTGTATACGTTTCTGGTGTCAGGTGTCCATTATTATTCTCTAGATTATGCCATTTTCCTAACCATATCAGGAATTTTTTTAAAAATTGTACTATAATCATATTTATTGGTAATAGGCTTACAAAATTCGTTTCGCTTCAATTCCCCTTTTATTACACTTGTATTACTGACAATATCCCACAAATTCCTGATTATTTCCAAAAAGTGTGCAGCATCATTAAACTTTAATTCTTTCATAGCAGCTATTGTTGAGTGATGGAATAAATTATCTACAAAATTTACATTTTGCCTTTCAAATGAATTTGGATGCAATGTTTTATAATTTAATTTATATGCTTTCTTAACTACAGCTTCTTTTTCCAATTGATATACAGCACGAATGTTTTCAACTTTAGCATACTGAATAATATCATTATTGTCAAAATTAGGATATACAAAAGTTTTGTCTAGGTTTTTTAAATTAATCCAATTATTTCTGATACTCTTGAAAATATGCACAACATCATAAGTTAAATATATGTTCTTATCAGGATTATGTGGATTTGGAATAGAATAATTTTCTGATGAATCCTTTGCTAATTTCCTAAACATTGCTCTATTAATTCTGTGATTATCAGTAACAACACAAATAACTTCAAATCCACATTTTTGAACTAAATTTATCTTTGATCTTATCCATATCATCGAAATTCTGGATAGCTTTTTCATGTTTCTCAATTAATTTTTGTTTTCTTTGCATTGGGTCAGTTCTTTTGGGTGCTTCAGTTTTTGAAAGATATGATGGCAAGTTTGGGAAAATGGAGGGAACAGCATTTTCTTTCAATTTTGGATATTTCAAAGGTATATTATTTTGGACTGTTCCATCCGCCAAAACTATATTTTCTGTTCTGATGATATCCGATTCTCTAAAATGACGACTGCACACAGCTGAATATTTTGAAGGTGTCCAATTTTTTCTGGGAATTGCCATAAGCCATTTGTTTTTCAGACTTTCGGTACTTGGGAAGCGAAAAGTTGAAACATAGCTTTCTGTTTTCAAAGCAGAATTATAGTTTGCATTACATAATGGAACACAGCAACAACGAGGCATATTGTCTGCGTCAAATACTTGATAAATGAAAAAAGAAAAATACAACCTGAATTTGCACGTTTTCAATAGTTGAAATCCTTAACGTCCTGAGGCGCGAACAGCCACAGTCACACTTCTTAGTTTATTTTTAAAGCACAGAAGCACTACAACTGGAGTCTATT